TCTATGTAACTCAGAAGGCTTTAAAGAGTTAAGTTATATCACAACAAAACTCCTTCTATTTTCATGTATTTATTTTTGTGAACAAAGTTTTTCAGGGTTTGCATAAAAATCCTCCAAGATAGGAAAACAAGTGATGCTAGACCATACCTCACTCCAGCAAAAAGTGATAGTCATTCATGGGTAAATGAACAAACTAAAAAATAAGCCCTATATATTTCATTAAAAAAAACATTTCTGGCTGGGTGCAGTGGCTCATGCCTGTAATCCCAGCACTTTGGGAGTCTGAGGTGGGTGAATTGCTTGAGCCCAGGAGTTCAAGACCAGCCTGGGCAACATAGTGAGACCACCATCTCTGAAAAAAAGAAGAAGGAAAAATAAAAGAAATACATTTCCAGATGAAACTTTGCTTTTTATATGTAATAATTTATAAAAACTGTAACATATTGTTTCCATCATTTGTGTACTCATAATAGTTGTATTAACTCAGTTCAGAAAAAAATCATAGCAATTAGATTCTTATGGTTTAATACTCTTAAATGTAGAATCAGTTATCATTATTTGTGGTAGTTACGTTCTAGAAAGTTACCTTGATCATTGAATTACTGACAAATGCAACATTGCTCTGAGGAGAAATATAGCGTTAGGATCCATGAAGACTCTGACCACATTTTGCCAACCAATCAATACATAACCTTGTTTTATGTGTATTTTTGTTTGAAGATAGTTTATTTAATATAAATTTCTTACAATTAATCATATGCAGTATTTCTTTATAATAAACAATGTTTCAGTTACAGCATTATGTACTGCTATGATTGTATTAGTTTAATTGTCAGTCATAAGTATACACATGCACACAGTACACATATACAGTACTCACATAACACGGAATACTGTGAACATGCTTTATACTGTATAGCACAGTAATAACAAATACATAAAGTCCTGAAAAGAGCATTAAGTGAAGATTGAGCATTTAAAGCTTTATACACATTAACTAAAGTCTTACTGTGGATGGAGCCGCAGGATGTGTGATGGTCAGTGAGTGCACTGTGGTTTACCCTATCAACCTTAGCTTGCCCCATGAAAATCAAAAGAGGCTGGTGGAATTTACTCTGCACAAGAGGAAGATGTCAATAATGGCAGCACATTGTGATCTGGCAGAGCTACCTTAGGAGTTTGTCTTTTGCAACTTGTTGATGGTGTTGGCGACTCTCTCTCAAACTGGCTAGAAAAATTGGTTCAGCCTTGTCTGCCTGGCTTTTCGCCTCAAATTTTTAAGCATCTCAGAATAAGGGATAAATGCAGTGGAAGTGAGGCGCTTAAATGTGAGGCTACGTTCAAGTACAGGGTCACATTCTTCCATGTCATTGAAAATTTTTTCCAAGGCAGAATTCCATTCTCATATTTTGGCTGCTGTGAGAGGGACAATTCTTGGAGTCTTAGGGTGACTTTTGTCACTGACTTTGCTGCCATGTTTTGTCCTCTCATCCAGGTTTTTGTTTGTGGGTTCTGCTGCCTTCTCTGACAAACTTTCCTCCACATCTTCTTCCTTCATGTCGTTGAAACCTTCTCCATTTATTTGCCGTGCAATATGCATTATGTTTTTTTACATTGTTTTTTATATTTTCTGAAACACTTTCAAAGCCTTGAAAAGTTTTCACGGTCTGGCCAAATGTTTTCCCAGCAGTTATTGACAGTAGCCTGCTTGATGCTGTCCCAGGCTGTGCCAAGATAATCAACAACGCTGAGTATAGTGAGTGATTTCCAGTAGTCTATCATGCTGGCTTCCTTGTTGGCATCAAGAGCCTCACAAGCTTTACAATAAAGTTCCCTCATGTAGTGTGCCTTGGAAGTTTGTATTATGCCCTGAGGGGCTGGATGAGAGATGCAGTATTGGGGCATGAAAAGAACTTCTATGTTGGGGTGAACATTTTCAAGTTCGTCATGGCAATGAACTGGGGCATTACCCAAAATTAATAAGACCCGGAAAGCAAGGTTTTTGCCCTGGAGATATCGTTCAACTTCCGGAATGAAGCAGTGGAGGAACCAATCCCAGAATATTTCAGATACCATCCTTGCTTTTCTGTTTTACCTCCAATGGACTGGCATGCAGTTCAGGTTTTTCCCTTTAAGTGCTCATGGGTTGTGGGCTCTGTACACCATCAGAGGTTTGCACTTGAAGTCGCCCTTGCCATTGGCGCACAATAGCAAGGTTGAATGCTATAAAGTCAGCGGCTTGCATGACCATTTGCATTACATAGGTTTTATAAGAATGCCAACATTCTTATAAAACAAGCCAGTCTCATCAGCATTGAAAACCTGCTCTTCAACATAACCCTTTAACCCTTTTCACGTATAACACTTAGCAGGCATTTTAAAAATTCTTCCGCAGCCTCCTTATCTGCAGAACCTGCCTTGCCTGCAAGTTTAGAATTTGATTTCATGCTGTACCGCCTTTTGAAACGTTCCAGCCAGCCTGCACTAGCTGAGAAGGGTTTAACATTTTCCTGACCTTGGGTAACATGGCTGTAAATTTCCTTGACTTTCAGTCTCACAACAATACTGCCCACTACACTTTTTTTTTTATTGGTTGTCGTCTGATGAATCCACAAATTTAGCTGCTTTTCCATCCTTTCCATAGCTTCATCACGCACTATAGATGTTACTTTAGCACTTTCTGGAGCAGCCTCATGTACAGATCAGCAGATCTCCACTTCCTTTTTGTGAATGTACCATATTGTTGATTTATTAACATTGAACTCATGACAACAGTACTATAACTCATGCCCAAACGGAGCTTATCTAACACACGTATTTTCTCTGTAAGACACATCACAGCCTTCTTGCACTTAGGGACATTAGACCGCATTTCAGCACTACGCTTGGGGGCCATTTGAAACAGAGAAGTCACCATCGGAAGGCACAGAAATTTGAAAAACGTGACACTAAGTAGACTGAGAAGAGGACGTATGTTTACAGAATGAGAACTGAAAAAAGGCAGAGCATGGCCTTGTACCAGCTCAGCTGGAAACGTGTACATAAGGTGATACAAATTTTTCACTGTTCTGCATGTGTCATATATGACTGAGAGAGTGCTTCAAGTATTGATTTTTGGGTTACACATAATTTTTAGCAAGTAGCTGAGTTCATAAATACACTCTTTGATGATTGACTGTATTTGTAGAGGTCACTTGTCAAAAAAGAGTGCGTTTCAAGCATAAAAATAGATTTTATGAGGATACAACTTTTTGGGTGAAGTGGAATGAATTAAAGGAGAAACAATTAATGTCTGACTTGTTCAGAAACTTTTTAGATGGAGAAATGGGTATTATGTTTCTATTACATTTAGATTCTATTGGATTTTAATAAACGATGCAATGGTTTAATTTCAAAATGTCAGCAGAATGTCAGAAATTACATCCTTTACAACTATTTAAAACTATGAAGAAAAAAATTATTACCTACATATGTGATAATTTTTAAGAATTATTTTAAAGAGAACAAAATGGATTAGGAAGCAGCTTTGCTTTTGCCATTCCACTGAAAAAATGTACAATTTCGATGGAAACATGTCAGCACTTGCTTGTAGGAATTTTTCAACTATAGAAAGAAAAAAAGCTTCATTTCATCTCTTTTGGCATTGCTGAACACTTGGTTTTGATGTATAATTTTAAAACACCTGAGCACCATGAAATGAAACCACAGTATTCCTGAGGGTAGCCTGGTGAAATGTGATTTTCTCCTACAGTACAGGACAAAAATGCCTTTAATGTCCTCAAATGCTAGAGTTCTAGATGACGCATTAGTTTAAATGTCAACGCTTAATGTCTTCACATGTAATTTGGAACAGAAATTTTCTTACAGTTAAAATAATCCTTGGAGTAAAAACCAAAATAAACAGCTTTTCGTATGCCTCAGGCTTCTTAAAATTTTCTAGTAATTGATGCTGTTTCTGGTTTCCTTAGTTTCTTGCCGTGGGAAAGGTCCAAACACCTTACATGTGTTGCTGGTGACCCTAACAATTCTACTTTGGACTAAAGCACCAGGGAGTCTGTAGGCGCCTTCCTGCGCTCCTTGACTGCGGGGGATCCACAATTTCTTCTCAGCTGACTTACTGGTTTTCATGTTAACTATTTCAGTTAATCATTCATGAAGCACGTGGGATATACTTGGGGAAAGAAAACACTGCACCTTAATCCCAACATGCATAATTTTTGTTGCTTAATTAAGTCATCGCATTAGAATTGTAACTGCGCTCTCCATGAGCCTTGGTTAGAAAGAAGGGAAGAAATCCCAGGTTCTCTCCCAACAATCAGGGGTTACTCAAGCCGCCCAAACTCTCTGGGGCCCCTCTGGGCCGGGCTGTGTCCACTTGGGAGAGGCCGAGGACCGGGCGCCAAGAGGCTGCGGTGTCTGCGCTTGGGGCCCAACGGGTGCGCTGTGTCTGCGGGGCCAGGCCAAGGACCTGGAGCAGGGAGGAGGCCGGGCGCGGGGCCGGGCCTCGTCGGCTGCGTCCGCGGGGCTGGGGCCGAGGCCGAAGACTGGACAGGAGAAGGCGGCGGTGGCCGCGTGTGGGGCCAACCAGTGGGCTCCGCCTCCCGGACCGAGGCCCAGCACTGGGCCGGAGGAGGTGGCAACTAGCCGGGTAAGCAGGGTGGGCTGCGTCCGCTGGGGCGAAGACCCAGCGCCAGCCGGAAGACGTCCCGCGCAGGCCGGCGGGGGCGCGGTCTGAGTACGTCACTTCCGGCGCCGGGACTCACTTCCTGGTGCGGGAAGGGGCAGAGATTGGTGCAGCCCCGGAGGAAGAAAAAAGGGTGAGGAGAAGCGGCGGCTGAGCGGGTTGGCATCTGTGGCTGCGGGCTCGCTCCAGGCCGTCGGGGGCGGCTCGCTAGCGTCGCCCGCTGTGTTGGGAGCGCGGGCCGTGGGCGTCGCTTGGCCTTGTCCCCGGTCTCCCCACTGCCGGCCACAGCGCTCAGCGCGTGTGCTCTGTGTTGCAGGTCTACCCGGAGCCGCGGAGCGAGAGCGAGTGCCTGAGCAACATCCGCGAGTTCCTGCGTGGCTGCGGGGCTTCCCTGCGCCTGGAGGTGAGCGCGGGCGGCCACGGGCCGAGGGAGGGGCCGGGAAGACGGGGTTGGGCCCGGGGTGGGCGCTTCGCTCCGGCCAGACCTCCCGCCTCCTCCGCGCCCGGGTCCGACCCTCCCCGGCCTCTCGGGGGTCCGGGTTGTGTGGAACGGGGCGTTGTGGGTTTGGGTAACGGCCGGGAGGAGGCGGCGCGCGGGCCACCCTTGGGGCAGGGTGGAGTCTGCGTGGGAACCCCAGACATCGCCCTTGCTCCAGTGAGGAAGAGTGGTTCTGGTCGCTGGTGGTGCAGGTGACACACATTTTCAACAACCGTTTATCAGGGGTGTGAGCCCATTTCTTGGCACCTGCCTCAGCCTGAGCTCTGCTTTTAGAGATTGTCATCTAAGGGCTCGCATCTAGGTCTGGGTCAGGCCTTAGAATCCTCAGCAGGTGATCAGGCAAAGTCGTGCAGAAATAAAATGGGCCAGCCCTCCGCCTGCTTCTCTCAGCCGCACTCCTTTCTCTGCTTTTTCTATCTGAGACCAGAAATTCGGTGGTTTTTCCGTACCCTCAACACTTAATGTTTAGGTTAGAGAATTCACAGTAACCGGTATCTGAGGTTTATAAAACATGCTTTCGGGGAACATACTGGGCGGGGTCTCGATTCCCTGTTGTAAAATATTGTGTCACTTTACTAAACATTGTCTTTTCAGTCTTTCAGTGGCAGTTTCTGGGAATTTAACTCTTTCATTTTATTTTACTATTGCGATTCTTCCTACACTTGGGGTAGCGCTTTAAATACAGAAATCTAGCTTTGCTTTTCTTGGGATCTGCTCAAGCGGTTGCAGTCAGTCCTGTACTTAAGTCCTGCCTTTTATTTTTATGTTGCCACTTTGTCACTCTTAACCTTAGTTTTCTTATCTGTCAACTGAGATGGGCAATATCAAGCTCCCAGATAAGAGTACAGTCAGCCCTCTGTATCCAAGGTTACCCACCCGTGTATTCAGCCAGCCTTGGAAATATCGGAGGAGGGGGAAACCAATTTTAAAAAACCAATATAAAACAACACAGTATAATGATTATTTACATATCATTTATAATGTACTAGGTAGTGTACGTAACCTAGGGGTGATTTAATGTTTACGAGACTATGCCATTTTATATAAAAGACTTGAGCATCTGAGGGTTTTGGTATCCATGGGGATCCTGGAACCAATTCCCTGCTGATAAAAAGGGACAACTGTATATGAAAGCATCTTTGTAGAACCTGTTACATAGGATAACCCAATAGAGATTTCCCTTCCTGAAGGAGGGTCTTTTGCTATAGGTTTCTCGGAAAACCTAGAAGTCATCAAATCTGTGAGGGCAGGTTACATGGAAAGTTTATTTAATTGAATTAGACATACAGGAATTCATAAAGTATTACTGGCGTTGTTTATGATTGTAAACACAAAGACATTTGTTGTTGGTAGTATTTCATGTTGGCAAGGAAATTATTACACGTAAGTGAAAGTGCTAGGGGAGATTCCAAGAAACTTAGGGCTCTTTCAAAGGGAAAAAAGACAGTGTTTCAGTAGTTTTTCCCTGATACCCTTTGTCGTATCAGCTTTGTCATTTTGTAATCCAGCTGCCTTATTGGCTGTGATAAGGTGCCTTGCTAGTGGCAAGTTTTACTTTTTCTTGACCTTTGTGTGGGATTTTATCATATTACCCTCTTGAAACTACTGAGTTTATTTATGTTTAACGTACTTTTGAAACTAAATTTGCACATTAAGATTATCTGACTTTGGTGTAAGACTTTTTAAGAAAGTTTTGTTTTAAAGTAAATTGAGGCTGGGCGCAGTGGCTCACGCTTGTAATCCCAGCACTTTGGGAGGCTGAGGTGGGTGGATCACATGAAGTTGGGAATTCGAGACCAGCCTGGCTAACATGGCAAAAACCCGTCTCTACTTAAAAAAAAAAAATAAACACAAAACCCAAAACCAAAAATTAGCCGGGCATGGTGGTGCGCACCTGTAGTTCCAGTTACTCGGGAGGCTGAGACTGGAGAATCCCTTGAACCCCAGAGGTAGAGATTGCAATGAGCCGAGATTGCCACTGCACTCCAGCTGGGGCGACAAAGCGAGACTACGTCTAAAAAAAAAAAAAAAAAAAAAAAAAGTAAATTGAATGTTAAAAACTTACCATTTTTAGTTTTCCAAAGGTTGCTGCTGACGTTTCGTATGGTAACTGTTGTTTTTATAATTAAGAGTTATTTTGAAGGTTCTCTGGAAGAGAGATTTCCTTAACATATCCCAAGCATCTAGAATAGTGCTTGGCACATAATAGGCTTTCAATAAATATTTGTTACTCACAGAATGAGCTTGAAGGTGTAGTTGATAGCAAGTGAGTTTCACATTAAAGTAAAAAATTAGTTTTGACTTATTTTGTCCTGTTTTTAAAGAGTGGATATCTCTTCCAGTAAATTTAAACAAGAGGCAAATGTTACCTTTTTTCAAGCTTGGTGTGAGTCACACTTGTAATTACCTAGGAGATAATAAAAATGAAAATATGAAAACAGCACATGAAAAACCTGATAAATTGTTCAGTCACTGTGTTTTGGGAAGTTTCCCTGAGAGGTCATTCTGTACGGTATGCGTCCAGCGCTGGCTACCAGCCTTGTAAGCTGATGTGAAGGGACAGGGCTGGGCCCTGAAGGACTTGGTCGTCTGCCCTGCGGGCCACAGTGCAGCAATTTCCCAGTGTGTGAGAATTGCTTAGAGAGTGAGGAGGGAAGGGCCTTGCACTTGTGAAATATGTTGTAGGATTTACACATTTCATTTTCACAAAATTCTGAGAGGTGGGAAATTGATAAGTGTTTTGAAATTACAGACACAAAACTTAAAACTGATAGCTTAAATTCTAGATTAGCTTTTGTTCTATAGTTGTAAATGTCAAGGTGCTTTTCTTCCAGGGGTTAGTTTAGACTGAACTGTGTTTCTAACAGATTGTTTTTGGTGTATATATTCTTATTTACTGTCAGTTTAAGCTCTGCTAAGATTGGTTAAAGGGAAAAAGGAAGTAAATTTGGTTAATATGTCAGCTATTTTGGTGCATACCTTCCTTAATTACCTGTAGAAAATCAGATATTACCCCCTAATTGTTCTGATTATGAAAATATTTTTATAAATTGGTTTTAAAGGAATATTGTGTGAGTTGCATTTATTGGTAAACTTTGAGAAGCACTAGGTTTTAAGTTGGAAAACTCTGAAATTTGGAAAATTAAAAAAATTTAATTAGTGTTGGAAAGCAGTGCAACTTGGGTGACTTCATTTTCTTACAACGTTTTTACTTGGCATGCTGAAATTTTTTTTTTTTTCCAGTTAGGGCAAAAATCCGTAGGCACACAATTTCTCTATTTGTATCTCAAAAACAACCAAAATAATAATTATTAATAAGAATGATGATGATGTTGGCTGGGCACAGTGGCTCATGCCTGTAATCCTAGCACTTTGGGAGGCTGAGGCGGGTGAATCACCTTAGGTCAGGAGTTCGAGACCAGCCTGGCCAACATGGTGAAACCCCATCTCTACTAATCACACCACTGCCCTCCAGCCTGGACAGCAGAGCAAAACTCCATCTCAAAAAAAAGAATGATGATGATTATGTTTGTAGAATTTCACTTGGGGATAAGTAACTTACCGAGGCAAACCAAGCAAGGGATAGGACATTTCTTTGCATTTTCTTAGGTAAATAGCTACAGAGAAATTCAGAGTGATTTCTATTTCCAGTTTTTTGCTGCGTTACTGTGGAATTCCGATTCAAGTGTTGTGGCTGCTGTAGGGTGTGTGTGTGTGCATGTTTGTTTGTTCACTCAAAAGGTCATAATGAATTAGCTTCCAAGCTGTTCCCATCCTATACAACCTTGTCTGATTAGGCATCTGACAACTAGGGAAGCAGGTGAAATGTAACTGGCAAAAGCAGATTTTATGTTTCTAGGAGAAAGCTGTGTTTGGTTAAAGCCATCACACCTGTAACATGTTTACCAGCTTTTTATTTCAAGAGCTGAAAGTTAAGAATATAAGATTCCAGTTGTTTAAATGGTACATCATGAAGCTCACATTAATAATGTGGTTTCAGGAATATTAGCAACAAAATAATTATAATAAAGCTGTGGATTTTAACTTAGTTCTGTTTGAAAGATGTCTACTGTTCTAGATAGTTATATTCATACATAATAATCCTGATGGATGGTTTGATATTAATGAGGCTTTTTTTGCTTAAGAATTGACTGTGGATTCACATAGAGTGTTACCATCACTACTTGAGAGGAAAACAAAACATTTCAGATGAAACTGGGTGAGCCTGTTCTCATAGTTGCCAAGAGGGAATAAAGCCAATTTGTCAAGTGTAAGCAAACCACAGCTCTTTCTTCTCACAGACCATTTCTGAAATAGTTGTTTGATATGATAAGGATGGTAACCCTAATATATTAATAATTGATCTCTCCAGCTCCTTGGCACAGCAACTAATACTAAAATTATCTGCAGGTTTCACAGTTGCTGTTCATTTACTTAACTGTTTTTCTGGAAAAGTGGAAAGCATCCAAAGGCCCAGGTGGTTCAGAACAGAAATCTGCTCTTTTCTCATCCTCACCCTTAGAAATTTTTGGTTGGTTTTTTGGTCTCTCAGATCAACAGAGCATGAAATGTAGACCAGCTAGTCACATAAAGCTTGCCTCATACCCAGTTTCTTTTCTTTAATTCTTATATTTTGTTTTTAAATTGACAAATGGTTGCATGTATTTATGGAGTAACAACATTATGTTATGGCATATGAATGCATTGTGGAGTGATTAGGTCAGGGAAATGAACATATCCGTTCATGTCCTCACATACTTCTTTTTTCTTTGTGGTAAGAACATTTAAAATCTCATCTTTTAGCAATTTTGAAATGTACTTTATTGTTAACTGTAGTCTCCTGCTGTACAATAGATTACTAAAATTTATTCCTCCTGTCCAACTGAAATTTGTACTCTTTGACT